CCACCTCCTCCTCCCCCTCCTCCCGAGCGGACTGAAAGCAGCTGGGGCTGAGGAAACGAAGCCACCTCGGCTCGCGTTGTTTTCTGAGCCTAGAGCCAGGGCACTTTCATTGCACGGCGGAGCTTCTTGTTTCAGGAAACACCGGGTGTCGTTGCTGCCCCCTGAGGGGAGGGCGATTCTGGGACTTGTGGCTTTGGGTGGGAGCGAGGACGGACGGAGTCCGCGAAGCGGGGCTTGCCTGCCCTTGCTGGCTGCCTCTGCTTCCTTAGGGGCGGGGAAGGGGACTCATCTGGACCAAGGGTGAGTCTCCCTCAGTTTCCCCTGAAGAATCTTCTGTCGCTTTTGCCTTCTCCCTATGTCTTCCCTCTGTTAAAATCCCCCCCCACACACACACTTATTTTCAGGCGGATAGATTTCGTATCTCAGCATTCTCACATGACGGTGGGTCTTCCCCCCCCAAAAAAAACAGTTAAATAAAGAAAAAACAATATATCCTCATGCAAGAACTTTTCTGCTTCCGATTACCCCCCATGCTTACAAGTTGCAAAGGAAACACGGAAGCAGGGAAGTGGCTGCCCAGCTCTGGAGCTCCACACCATTTTTCTTTCAGAGGGAATCTCACTCGAGTATAAGCCAAGGGGTCTTTTTTCCGCACAAAAAATGTGCTGAAAAACTCGGCTTATACTCGAGTCAATAAGTTTTCCCAGTTTTTTGTGGCAAAATTAGGTGCCTCGGCTTATATTCGGGTCGACTTATACTCGAGTATATACGGTAATTGTAATTGAAGACTACAAAATGGAAGCACAAAACAATTTGTAAACCAACCGGCACACTGTATGTACAAATGTGGAAGATGGCCTGATGTTTTTATGTTTTGTTTGTTTATGTTTGTTTTAAAAACCAATAAAAATTAAAAAACAAAAGAAATCAATATGTTACAATTTGCTAAAAGTAGGGAAAAACTATTATTGGATTAGGAACATTAGTTAATTACTTACTGCATATTCCTCAGGTGTAACTTTCAGAACATCAAAAACTACTGCATCAAAGCTTTTCTTCAATTCAGTAGAACCCTTGTCACTCAATGATTCTGAGCTGCTACTCTTCTGTCCAAGAAGAAATAAGTTATTTCAGTACAAAGAGGTTTTAAAGGAATTCCTAAGTGGTTTTTAGGAGAGATTACTTGCATATTATTGTACTTATTCAATGGCAAATGAAAACTTGTGTAGCGATTTGTTAACTGAAAGAGATATTAAGAACTTTTACATGTATAGACCAGTGGTGGTATGCTACCGGTTCTGCCAAGCCAGTAGCAGCGATGAGCAGCGGAGACCTAACTGGTTCTCTCCGCTGCTCTGCTCTTGGGCCCACCCGCCCTCCCAGGCTCCCATACTCACCTTTTATCTTCTGCTTTTGAAGCGCAGCTGCTGTGCAAGGCACAGAAGAGTGCTGTGCGGCAGCTGCTGAAGTGACTGGGAGCGTGCAGGCTTGCCCGAGATAAGTTGGAACGCCTCTGCACCTGCGCAAAGTACGTGTCTGGCATGCATGTGCACGCGAAGTGTGTGCACATGCGCAAAGCGCACCCACCAAGCCACGCCAACTGAACCGGTGGTAAAAGTTTTTGAATCCCACCACTGGTATAGACTGAAGTGCTAGGCAAAGATCAGAGACATAGATTCGAGTTCACATTAAGCTAGAAAAGGTAACTTGGTAGCTTTTGGTCAGTCACTAGTTTTAAAATTATTCTATTTCATTCTATTTACCATTTTTGATATGAACGTAACATTGATGATACCCAATTAAATCTTTGACCTCTGAGACTGTCAAGGTTTGGACCCAGTGCCTGGTGTAAGTTTCGATGGGGAGGAACAGCTCCTGCTTAAAGAGCATGCAGAAGTCAGCTGTGGTCACGAAGGACTCCATACAATTCAATCTGGTGCATCAACTGTGCACTTTCCTAAATCCAGGAATCCTTCAGATTCCCCTGTTACATTATGGCTTGACTATGTGATGTATTATATAAGGGAGAAATCCTTGAAGACCACCTGGAGGCTCTTTCATGAGCTGCATTGGTTGCCAGTTTCTTTCAAGTTGTGATTCAAGATGTTGGTCATCACCTACAAACTCCTACATGACATGGAACCTAATTACAGGTAATCCTTAAGAAATGACAGACCACTTAAGTAGGGGATCAAAGTTATGCATCCCGAAACTACATATGACCTATTTCAAAGTTATGACAGCTGCAGTCCCCCTACAGTCATTCATGACAAACCACTTGCTGCAACACGTCACCGCACTTCCCCCATCCCACCCTGAGGGGACTCACAGAGGTTGGATGTGCTTCCTATGCCTCCTGGAAGCAGCTGCCATTTTCAGACCCCTGAGAATTCCTTGGTGGAAATGGCAGTTACTTTTAAGAGTTTTCTGCACCAATCAGCTGGCCGTTGGGAGGCTGCAAAGCTCTCCTGCCTCTTGCTGGGCTTTGGGAAGCCAGCCCCTGAATAAAAGGCAGCAACTTTAGGATGAGCTTCCCCAAATATTTCTGTTACTTAAACTCCTCCCTTCCCCAGAAACCCACATTTTTTTCAATAAACAAAACAAAACAAAATCTGGGAGGGACAGATCCCCTCCCCATTTAGGGGCTAAAAATAAAGACTCTGCCTCTGCTCTCTAATCTCTAACCCTTTAAAAACATTCACCTTGACTCCAACTGAAGAGTAGAGGAACAAAGCAAGCAAGGAAAGAGGTTTTTTTCTGCAGCTTTTTCTCTTGAACTGGAGGGGGAAAAATCATCTCCAAAAGTAAGCTAACTAGTGCAACAAAATAGAGAATACTGGGTCTTTGCAAACTTCTGTCTAACTGCCACTCAAGGCAGTCTACAGTCTAGCCTTTAAGTCTTCCCAGGACCTCCCCCATCCCCGAGCTTCACTTAACAATCTGTGCATTAATTAAACAAATGCACTGGAGAGAGCAGAGATCGCTGGTAGTTACTTGGGGCAATTCATTTAATGCTGTCCCAACTTCCAATCCTAATGGGCAGATTCCATTACGGTTGTAACTTGAGGACTAACTATACTTGAGGAACTGCCCATCCCCCACAATATAACTCAGATGATTTGATCTTGTAGGATTGGTATGTTCTGGGTTTGTTTGAATTATCTATTTGGTCTCTGGAAGTGCATCATCTCTATAGCAGCACCTGTATTACTGTAGAATAAGGTTCCCACCAAAGTTTGGATGGCCCCTACTCTACTGTTGTTTAGAAGAGCTGTGAAGACGTGGTTCTTCACCCAGGCCTTAGGCAAAGGAGAGTGAGACTTCTTGCTTTATTCTATTTGGTTTGTCATTCTTGCCATAATTTCTTGGTGTTATAATTTCTGTGAGTCATTAAGAGTTGGGCAGCAAATACATTTAATAATTTTTTTATTAAATTAAAGAAATACTACAGATGCCGTCTTGAAGGTAGAACTGAATTCTACTGTATGTACAGAAATGCAAAATGCATTACTAAAAACCAAGTAAGTGGAATTAAACTAGAGAAAACCTTTTGAAATCTCTAATTTTTGTGTCAATCTAATGAAAATATAGTATACAAGTCTTATAAAATAGCAGTCCCAACCTTTCTGGCTTTGCAGACCAGCAGGGTAGGGGTGGGAAAAAGGGATGGTTCCCCACAGGTGGGTGAGTGCATATGTGCAGCTCCGTCCATTTGTGCGAGAGGTAGGCAGGTATGCCTGCCACTTTCACAAATGGAGTTGTGCGCGTCCTTGCCTGCACGTTCATCCAGACCGTGGCCTGGTAGTGAGCTGTGGCTTGGGGATAAAGAGCCATGCTCTTCTCTCCTCTCTTTCCCCTCACATAAATTGCAAATCCTATTTGCATAAAAAAAATCAATTAATATTGGTAACAATACCAGTAGTGGGATTCAAATATTTTTACCACCGGTTCAGTGAGCATGGCTTGGTGGGCACGCTTTGCACGCGTGCACAGACTTTGCGCGTGCATGCCAAATGCGCACTTTGCGCAGGCCCAGAGGCATTTGTGCAGGCGCAGAGGCGTTCTAACTCACCTCCTGCAAACCTGCATAATCCCGATCACTTCAGCAGCTGCCCGCAGCACGCTTCAAATTCAGCGGATAAAGGTGAGTATGGGAACCCGGGCAGGCGCATGGGCCCAACAGCAGAGCAGCGGAGAGAAACGGTTCAGTCTCCGCTGTTCATCACTGCTACCGGCTCTGCAGAACCAGGCTGAACCGGTAGAATGAACAATACTCCTTTTTGGTAAAAGCCATTAACATGCACACATATTATTAATACAATCACTGTCTCTGGATTGTTGAGATAGTTTTCCTATTAGTGACCATTGTGTTATATTTTTAATACTTTTGATTATCAATGGGCAAATTATCCACCTAAATTGTCAAATGCTATGTGATAACTTCAAGTAGGTAACTCTGAATATTTCAAATTAAAATAATGTTTCAAATGGGATCAAACTATGTTTTCAGTTATGTAATTTTTATTTTATAATATACACCCTCCCCCCAATCCAATCAGTGAAATAAAAAGAGGTACAGTGAGAAGACATGACTCTCCTAGATGCAAATAACACTACTGTATAATCATCATTTTAAAAACAAAATGAAGATGTCCAATAGGTAATCCTTGGTTAACAACTGGTTGCCTGGCAACTATTTCAAGTTACAATGGATCTGCGAAAATGTACTTGATTTGATTCTGGAATTCTGGTTGATATACTCCTATGGTCGCACGAATGCATTTTTGGCACTTGGCAAAATCAGTTCACGCTTCTGGCTGTTTGCAGTGGCCCATGTCATTTGTCCACGATTTTTAGCATTTTTTGCCTCTTTATAGTGTTTATTTCCAGTTACTGACAAAAAACACCCGTTGGATAAAATGGATTTAACAACTACAGATTTCACTTAATGATCACTGCAAAAAAGGTCATAAAACTGGGCACAGTCACATGGTTTAACCACTGTCAAAATTTACAACTATAATTTTAGGTTCAATTACGGTCATATTCAAGGACTACCTGGGTTGTTCTTTGCTTACGTATTTTATATTGTAAATAGTACATGCCTTATAGATTTATAACACAGAGGAAATGTCTGCATACCATAATATTTAAACTTTCCCCCCTTCTGTACTGCATTATATATGATTATTATGGACCTATTCTGTTATTATTTAAGTTGACTGCATAAGACATTCTTTATTTCTTCCTTACCTCTGAAGCAGTTGGTACAATATTAATATTACTGGTCTGTCCGTTCATTAGGGCCATACTGTTTGCACCATTGGCCTTCTGCCCTACATTTGCAGAAGTGACTTTATTCATTCACGTTCACCCAAGTTATCATTCCTTTAAAAAGAAAAGTAATGTTAAGGATGCATAAGCCTCATCATACAGCTCAACATACTTTTGCTAATAGCAAAATTATCAAAAAAATCTAATTTAATGCAAAATATGGTGGAATACAAAATTTACATTGTGCAAAATTACCATTATATCAACTATAATTCAGTTAAATCCTTGGGAACTTTAATCTTAATAAACAACAGCAAATTCAAACTAAGAGTACATTATTTTGATGACCAGCTGAGTCCAGTAAACAAGAAAAGTATTAGGTATCTAGTTAGTGCTATTATTACAAATGTTAATATATTTTATTCTACATTTGATGTTTATACTGTTTAAGAGACTACAGCATTGGTGCTTCTGAGTATTTATTTTTTTTATAATAGTTCTTTTAGCATTATAGTACTCAAACATGTTCTTTGTCTTGTCTTGAGCATTTTCTCCATGTTTTCTACAGTAGAATTTATAGAGCAGGTGGCTATCAAGGGGGAGAAATATGGAAAATGCTTCCCTGTACTACAAAGTTTATTAGCATTTTTCATTACACTGGACACAGTAGATTTGACCAGGATAAATTTAGAGCTGAGGATTTTTAACAGTTTTGGACCATTGTAGTATGTCCAACTGTTTCTAGTGTTAGATAGATCTAGTTTCTTTCCATTTTGGATAAGTGGGCTGGATAGGATATTGATGGATATCTTGACTCTACAGGAGCAGTAGTCGGCATTGCAGATATGGAAGTACATAGAAGACAGGACACAACACTAGAACTGTGCAATATGATAGTAATGCAGTGGTCCTTAAAACTTTGTAAATTGAATTTTCAATATTTCTACATGCAGAAACATACAACCATAATGGAACCTACTGATCATAGTCATATGTAGTGACAGTCAAAATGTGATCTGATTTTTTGCAGTGGTCATTAAATGAATGCCATGATTATTAAGTGAATCAATGGTCCGCAGTAGTTAGGTTTTGCTGAAAGCCAGAATTAATGTTGGTTTTGGGGGAAAAAACTGTTATAAAGCACTGCCATGTAACTGCGGGACTCTACTAACTGCTGTGAATGTCTGCCTGGGGAGGGAGCTGACAGAACTTTGGGACTAGGTCTTAAGTAACACTAGAGAGATCCGTGGTAACTTTTAACAGTCGTTAAGCAACAGTCATAAGTCAGGAACTACCTGTAAATATGACTGAAAAATGTGATCTGTTCTTTACACAAGACTAAAAATTAGATAAAGAGAACCCTATAAATATGACTGAAAATGTGATCTGTTCTTTACACAAGATTAAAATTAGATAAAGAGAACAGATTTAAACAAATGAATTAAAAAAGTCCTGTTCATTTATTTATTGACAAAAATGAACCAAACCACAGACTTAAAAACAACATGAGAAATTTACAATTTAAAACAATTTAATATAAACAGGAATTTAAAATTCAATATATATTGGAGCAGAAAGAACTTTGTCCAAAGCAACAGCTTAACAATGAAGCTCATTAAAAATGTTTGGGAGGTGCAGGGTGGACATTTGTCATTTTTAACTACCAGTTTTTCCGTTATACCATAGCTGCAAGGGGAAGACAACTATGGCTAATAAGAACTGCTAGCTTCCAGATTTAAGAAGTTTAAAGACTATTAAGGATATAAAGGAATGAAAGTTAAGGATCTGTTTTGCCGTCTCTTGATTTTACAGTATTATACAGGTAGTCCTCGACTTACAACCATTTGTTTAATGATCATTCAAAGATACAACAGCACAAAAAACTGACTTATGACCAATTCTCACACTTTTAATCACTGCAGCATCTCCATGGTCACATGATCAAAAATTGGGTGCTTGGCAACCGGCATATAGTTACAACAGTTGCAACATCTGGGTATCATGTGATCAACGTTTGCAGCCTTCCCAGTCAGTTTCAGACAAGCAAAGTTAATGGGGCAAAACAAAACAAAACAAACAACCACATGATTCACTTAACAACTTCAATGATTCACTTAACAATCCTGGCATGATTCACTTAACAACTGTTTTGTTTAGCAATGGATATGTTAAGCTCAATTGTGGTCATAAGTCAAGGACTATGTGTATTATCAACTTTTGAAAATGTTTTTACACATATATATATTGCACAATAATCTCTATCTTGAAGGAAGAATAATTCCAAAATATTTAACATAAATACACTATTAAACTAATAGCAAATAATTCTTTTAAGACTGGGAAAGTCTGATTATATGCAAAGTTCAAAATAAAAATATCTCCCATTAATGATATCTCCTGCATCTTGAACTCTTGGCAGTTCAGGGAGCTAACTTAGCATATTTTTCTTAAGTTTTTTAAAAATCTGTAATGTTTGATACAGGGGAGGAAGCTAATTGATTCCAACACCTCCAAAGGTGTTGAAAGTTACAAGGTATGTGTTTGGTGAAAGAATGACGCTAGTGAGGATAAAGTAAAAAGGTATTTTTGCTTTCTGAGATATAGTTCTAAGGCATAAAATAGTTTTTCAATTGTTTATTGCAAAAAGACAAAAGAAATTGGCATTAACATTGACAACTTGCTAACAATGTAGCTTGAGCATTATGGTTGCCCTTGCATCTTGAAATGCGATCAAACATGAAAGAAACAAACATGAAGCTGTTTTTAATAAGGGAAAGAATATGGAGCACATCTAAATGTCTGGATGTGAATCCTCTATCCAAGCTCTCTGGTTCAAGAATAAAAGAATTTAATCAATCAGCACTAATAATAGAATAAATTAATAAAGAAAATGTTATATAGATAATCCTTGATTAACTACAGTAAAGGGGATTGGATTTCCCATTACTGATCTATTCTTGTAAAGTGTGTAAAGCAGGCAGTTTTAAATCAGTCCAAAAGAAGGTGGCACAAAAGGCTCAGCTGGTACCCTACGGGCAGGTAGGGCCAGGTGGCAGGGGCAGCTAGAATCAGCAGATAATGGGCAGCCAAAAGGGGAGATATTGGGGAAAGATAGGCAGATGGTGGGATTCAATAAGAAGCACCCCTTTATTTTATTGAGGCTTGGGACTGGAAGGTACCAAGCTAGGAACTACTTGAATTCGGATGGGTCCTTACCTCATGGCCAGTAGGATTTGGTTAATGACAGCAACGAGGATTGCTGAGATTACCATCACTAAGGGATGTGGAATAAGAATCTATTAATATAGCTTTAAAATAAAGCAGAATTAGTTCATCTAGTAGTGTTGGCTATCTGGTTAATCTGGGTGGGCTGACGCCAAACTTCCCACAGCTAATTTTAATTCCTTGATCCACTAACTCAGGTTCCCTTCTTAGTTTCTTTCTCTGGGGTCTCCTACCTCTTTTGTTTGTTTCCTGGACAGCCTTTCTTCAACTTGTTTCTCAAGGTCATCACACATTGCATTATATCAGGTGTGTGAACAGAGGCCCTGAGTGGGATTTAAGAGAAGCTCTGGCTGCACTGGTGCAAAAGAAGACCCTGGGTGGGGCACAAATGGAGGCCCTGGGTGGGGTCTGAGAGAAGTGAGATGGCAATAGGCAGGGAAAGGTGGTAAGGGCAGCTGGTGGCAGCAGATTTGGCCCTTTTGAGTGGAGCTGTTTTTAATGGTTTTCTTAGCCTGAAAGAATTCAAGAAAACGTATAGACCTAAAGAAAAGGCCATAAGAAGAACGTTTTTTAATTTTATTTATTTGTATTTACATCCCACCTGTATTATTTTATAAATAATGCAAGGGACAAACATACCTAATAACTCTTTCCTCCTCCTAGTTTCCCCAGAACAAATCTGTAAGACGAGTTGGACTGAGAGAGGGTAACTGGCCCCAAATCATCCATCTGGCTTTCATTGCTAAGGCAGGATTAGAACTCATGAGTTCCTGCTTTCTAGCCTGGTGCCTTAATCACTAGACCAAACTGGCCCTCTGTTAAGGACTGCAAACATTGGAATTAATCCAACAAAATGGGTGGAATTTGTCCAAATAGGAAATACTGGAATTCTACCCATTGATCAAATTCTCAACTTGATCTTTTGGGTAAACTTAAGCCATAAAAATCACACTGGATATAATCCTTGGGCACATACAGTGCACTTTTAAATTTACTTTGCATCACTTCCATTGACCTATAGATAGGGACTATCCAGGAATCAAAGTAGCTGAGCTGGAAATTTAGCTGTGAATACTTTGAAAATTACAGGGATACATTCTCCACCTTTAACATAAAAACATAAAAAGAAAAAAAGAAAAAAAAGAAACATAAAAAGAAAAAAAAACTATTTGAGCTTTTACCAAAGAATCACCCCCTGACCTCATGACACCTAGATCAGGAGTGTCAAACTCACGTCAACACTTGATGTACTGGGACTTTTTTCCTCTTTGCTAAACAGGGCAGGGGCAGGATGTGACGCATTTGGCCCGCGAGTCTGACACCCCTGACCTAGATGATCAAAATGGATAGGATCACATTGAAACAATGTTCACTGGATCACCAAGCTTCATACCAAACCATTAAGCAAAGAATCTGTCCTTGCCTCATTCATTTTGGGGGGTATAACAGTGGAATGTAATTAATTCATAATACATAATTCAGGGACTAAATCTAGAAAGTTCACAAAACATCAATGTTTTGATACTGCACATCAAGTTGTTCCTCTTCATTCTACTTTACTTTAAATATCCTGCTTTGTACTTTAGTTTTATAAATGTTTTAATATAACAATCTATTTTTTTTGCTAAGCTGTGAGAAAAGTATGACCATATTCACTTAGTTAATGAAAAAAATGCATCTCAAATGCATTTTGAAAAAGGTTGAGCAACCTTGCTGTATTGGAGGCATCAAACTTTGGAGACAAAAAGCATGTGCTTAAAGGAGGATGTAAAAGTTTCTGGCATTCATATAAACTGGTATTCATATAAACAGGGGAAAAATGTACTGCAAATACTAAGCCTGATCAATATTACAATATTTTAAATTTAAGTTCTGTGTAGAAGGCCTGG